GAGCAAGCGGGCACCGGAAAAATAGTTCGCTGATTTCATGAGGCCCTCTCGCAGAAATTCGAAAAAAATGTTGAGTTTTTAGAGGAATGCTCGGAGAAGTATCGTGCTTTTTCTATGGATTAATTGCGGCGCAGTGGCTGCATTCTCACGGACTTTCCGCGAGAATGTGCAAAAATATTGAGGGCCGCACAGTCCTTTGTGAAGGACCGCACAGTCCGTAGATACCTTTCGCTGGAAGAAGGTACCTCAAACTTGAGTAATTAAACCATTGGTGACCCTCTGCCACATAGAGTCTCACCTTTGCTCGGCGTACGCCCAACTGCGTAAAAAGAGTCCGAGCGCCTGCTGAATGTTCGGCCAGCGTTTGCTAAAAGAGAACATTTGACGAGCGCCTGCAGAAAATTCTATGTTGCTGCCCGCTGGCAGAACATTAGACAGTAAAGGAAGTACCGCTCTCTGAAGGTTTGGCCACGCCCCAAAATTCTGCTGACCGCTTGAAGAAAAGCGCGAGTTTGCGGACCGCCTGCCCCCAGCGATTATCTGAGAAGGTGCGGCGGTATGCCGCAACCACAGAGACCATATCGACCTAGCCTATGAGCGAGCAAGTTCCAATATAAGGGATGGCTCTCCAACACCTCCCTCCTAAGATGAACAACGGTACATCTTATAATGAAGCTTTACTTGTAGACGTTCTGGTGGGCGACGATGGCGGCTTGGTGTGGTTGAGGTCGGTGACGTAGTCGAGGTGGCTTGGTGTTCAGCAGCATCCATATCATTGTTACGTCGGCCTTCGTCGGGAATGGACTGTGTTGAGTCATGTTGTCGATACATACTTGCTGCGCGGCGCATCTGGTTCGCATGTAGTCTCCATGACTGACCGTCTCCGGTAAGCACGCCATATAATGCTTCTCCGTAGCGTTTCTTCACTCCATCTGGAATCCATTTTTTACATCCAGAGCGAAAATCACGTACCCACGCGGCATCTTGTGGTTGGTACGCTCTCTTTCGAGGTCCATGACGGCGATTGAACTGCTTCTCCATAGCTTTATTGCTCATTCCTCCTTCTTTGGAGTCTTCATTCAGCAGCGACAGTGGTGTCCTTATCTGACGTCCCAGGAGCAGCTCGGTAGGCGAACGTTGTCCTGGAGCAGCTGTACAAGGCGTCCGACGATAAGACTGCAGAAACTCCGCAAGATTCTCTGCCGTTCCTCCCTCCTTAATTTTCTGAAAGGTTCTCTTGAAGATATCCACAAACCTCTCCGCTTGTCCATTTAATTGTGAATGGAATGGAGGTGAACGTATATGATTGATTCCTCGCTCTTCACAGAAATATTGAAAATCGTTTGCTGTGAACTGCGTCCCATTATTCGACGCAAACACACGCGGGTTTCCAAATCGTGCAAATAGCGCTCTGAGTTCTCTTAGAGTAGCTGTAGTTTACGATGAAGGCATCTCAAAAACTTCTGGCCATTTCGAGTAAGCGTCGATTACGACGAGATACATCTTACCATTCAGCGGACCTGCGTAGTCAATGTGAAGTCGATTCCATGGTTTGTCTTTTACTTTCCATGAATGCAGCAACGTCCTCACTGGCATTTTGGAGGCTTCTTGACAATCCCTACAGCGGCGCAATGAATCTTCAGTTTCTTTGTTGATGCCCATCCAATATGTGAATCCTCTCGCGAGCATCTTGATCCTTGTCATTCCAGGGTGTCCCTCGTGTAACTGCTTCAGAGCCGCTTGTCTCAGCGAAGCTGGAATGACTATTCTGTGAGCAGAATACAAACATCCGTTTTGCACTGATAAATTCTCCCGCAGTGCTCTCCAATTTCGGACTTCTTTCGACTTGGACGGCCATGCTCTCGATTGCAACACTCGTATAACTTACGCAATGGTTTCGTCCTTGCGGGATTCTTTTTCAATCTTTCTTCGGGTTACTGGTAACGCTCGTACAGCAGCAACTTGGACGGGTCGCACATCTTCTTCTTCGCTAATCACCTTTCTGCAGTTGTACTCGGTAATTCTCTTGTAGGCTGGCAACTGCATGCACCATTCCAATCCCAGGAGATTTGAGCCTTCGGTGACGTAGTAACTTCCTTTTCCATGGACCAGTAGTCCTGTAACACGATATTTGACCTTGAAATCAGTGAAAAATCGATCTGCATTGGCGTCCCATCTGCCGTTTTTACTGGCATTACACAGGTTTCTAAAGCCGGAGATTCCATCCTCTTCCAAGCTTTACGCGATATAAGCGTTGTATCCGCCTCTGTGTCCAACTGGAGCTTAAAAGGGCATCCTCTGACGACAACGTCGAGGTAGGTGCGGGCATTTTCAGCTTTGAAGGCGATCACGTTTTTGCCTTTTTGCGACCATAGGGCTGCGTCCCTGTCTTCCGTCGCTTCCTTCAGCCCGTTCTAGAAAGTTGTGGACAATCTCTGCTGAAATGCGGATCACCACATCTGAAACAATCTACTTTTTTCTTCCACATCGCATGGACATCGCGGGTTCTTTCCATATCCGTGTTGTCCATCTTCGAAGCGGTGTAATTCTCGCATTCGCTGACCAAGTCCTCGATTGTCAGCGGTATTTCGTTCGTATGTGCATCCATTCTGCGAATCATCCTGAGGCGGACGTCTCGCAATGACCGGTCCTGAAGACCAGCTACGAATTTAGCGTCTTCATTCTTATATAGTCGAGCTCCTTGAGTGAGCGTCCTCATCTAGCCGCATGATTGTGTTGGCGAATTCTCGGAACGGTACATGCGTTGACGCGGGAGGCACTCGAATCTTCTCCTTATCAGCGTTTTCTTGGAGGCGAACAGCTTTTGAAGTTTTTCGATAGTTATGATGAAACCCAAGTCTTGTAGCTTTGCAGGCAAGACCTCATCTGCATACTTCCGATATGCTTCTTTGTTCAGCTTCATGAGAACCAGGTCACGCTTCTTGTTGTCTGGCAACAAAGACTCCTTATGACCGGTCCATACCTGCTGTACCAGTATGCAAAGGTATTACCTGTGTCTTCGTCCGAGACGAACCTTTGCACATCCTCGCTCAGCTGATCATATTGACCTTTGCTGACATCATGAACGGCGGCGCTCTGATTTTTCGCCAGAGTAGCAAGCGGCATCCTCATTTGTTCCTGTTGGGCTTGCATCTGGAATGAACTTCTTCTTGTTGAAGCAGCATCTGCTCCATTATAACGTGGAGGACCTTCTCCATATCCGCCGCATGCCGCTCTTCTGCAACCTTTGGCAGGGCTCCGCTGCAACGACGAGATTTCTCCCCTATCGTCCAGCTGTCAAATGCAACTTATCTGGAAAAATTGTCCTTGAAGTCAACTGAAGTCTTCTTCTCCTTGATCGGCAATGGGGCTTTTTCTCGTCTTTTGTTGGTGGTGGAGTTCTTCTTGTCCTTGATCCTGATCGTCACTTGATGTGGAACGCGCTGAGCCGTTGACGATTTATTAGAAAAACACAAGAGTTCCCCCTCTGTCTATCGGCGTACATGCCGAGGGTTCACTAGGAATAGTTCCAACACACAACACGCAAATATATCAAGGTGCGGTGGGTACGCCGCCACCACAGAGACCATATCCTATAGTATAGTGAGCCATAGACGTCCTATGTGGGTAGTGTGGGTAGTGTTTACGTGAGCAAGCTAGAATTTTTGCAGGATTTGACTCGTTTTACGATTTTTCTCGATTTCTTGAGCAGTTGGATCTTTTCAGTTTTTGGCTCGAAACTCGTGGTGGATCAGAGCTGTTGCCTCTTGTAGAGCTTGCTTTGCTCTATTGAATGTTACTTTGCAACCTGTTTAGAAAAGGGAAGTGTATGACCTATTGCGATTGAAATTCAAAACCTGCATCAATTTCCGGAAAAACTGATATATAAAAAGATCTGGTGGCGGAATTTCTCTCAATTTTTAAGTCTTTTTAGGTCTTTGGTCAATTATCTCAAAAAGAAAGATAGTGGCTCACACAGACATTTTCCTTCCACGCCCTTTTTGCAAATTAAAAGTTTCCCTAGATATTTTTCAATATCTCTGTAGAGCTTGCAGTTTTGAGTATGATTGACGCCGCTTTCGCTGCGATTCGTAAGAGGCGTGAAGCAGTGCCAAGTTTGTGTTTTAGGTTCGTTGTATAGAATTTCTGCCTAAAAAAAGGAGGCTTTACATGCGCGAGCGAATTAGGCTGTCCTTTCAGTGATGAGGATAGAGAAGTACATGTTGCCAGCTGTGAAGGTCACACGCGAACGTCTGCAACAAACGCCCACCTCTCATATTTATGAAGGAAAATGAAAAATTGAATTGAGCTTGGCGTACATTTTGACTTTGGGAAAACAGAGCTCCTTAGCTCTCATAGGAATCGCCAACTTCAGTGAAAAGTAGTTGGTCGCTGAATACCGCAAACCTAATATAGTTTTCCAATGATCAAAAGTCCTGTTTCGCCTCTCACCCCTAGACAGGTTGTAGAATAACCACTCTCAAGGCTCATCAGTAGGGGAGGAGTGGAGGTAATAGTGGTGGTCTTGAGCATGGGCTTGTATATATAGCGGGGGTATTCATAGGAGGGGGAGGAGTGTGTAGATCAGGTAGTGGTCAGGACTAAGATTGATCTAGCTAATGAATATCATTTGCATGATGAAATTAACTAACTGTTTAGTGTTTTTAAATTTCTCTAAGTTGATGACATTTACTGTGCAGTACCTGGAAAATCGCTAGAATAGGAGTAAGAAAGTTATTAGCAATAAAACAAATGGCGAGTTTTAGGGATAACCTGTATCCGCCTCTGCACAAAGCTTGCTCCACAACATCGCCGCAAATCCACAAATTTATTTCGTTTGCAATGAGTATTACCCTAAACTTAATACACGTAAATTCTTGGAATGTGAAGAAGTTAGGCAAAATAAAACTTGGAAAACATTTTTGTTCTAGATTCAAAGTTCACTCGGAAGGAAATGTAGTTTTAAAGTAATTAGCTTTACAATTTGAGAGTGATTTTAGACTTTTGATGACTGGCTTGCTATCGCCAATGGCAATATTCCTGAAAGTCCTCCGAAGGTGATTGAAGCAAGGTATAAAGACGCATTTTTGCTGAATGGCTATACGGAACTTTATCAGGTAAAGGAGTTCATTGCTCAACGTTTACTCCCAAACAGTAGCGTACCGAGGGGAGGCGGGGGGAGGGGGGGAAAGTTACTTAAATTTGTCATAAAAATGTGCAGAGGACTTGTTTTTACTTGTAAATAAATAAAATAATTTTTAAAAATTCAAATTAACCTTGTAGAAAAATTTTCGGAGGCCCCTTTTTCTAAAATTTTGGGGTCAGCGTCAGGAACAAAATTAGAAAAAATTTTTTTGTCCCCCCCTCGCCCGAGCCGAAATTCTGGGTACGCCACCGCTCCCAAATGCTGTGAACAGTGAATCTTACATTACTTTTACATTAGAACTACATTCAAGCAGACATTTCTTAAAGGCAATGGCTCGGCGGAATTTTGAGTCCAACTTTTCAGCATATTTGGAGCCTTCATTTGTGTCAAGTTCAACATTATGGTTGACAACTTTCAAAAATAATATTACAATGTTAGTAGCTACCACAGCATTGCTTACCTAAAAACGAGTTTGACGTAATGCGAAGTTGCAAAGGTGCGAAGGGTTTTAAACTGAGCACGTACAAAAGATTTAGGGGTACACAAACCTAAGAGAAATCGAAGTCTAGCGCTGCCATTGTCATTGATACATTCACGACAGTACGACCCACTGATGAGTCGTACGTGCCGTGCCCTGCCATTTTGGACAACACCAGCATCGGTGGGCGTATGCTTTTTGAAGTTTTTGGGTTTGGTAGTTTACAGACAAAATTTTTGGGCAAACTGAATAAACTTCTGTATACCCCTTTTGGAATACTGTCGAAAGATTGACATTTCAGACCATAGGAAACATCAGTGGCCAGTACATGTTATGCAAACTCAATATTGCGAAATGTGCCCTGGTCCAAAATGGCAGCCATCGAAAAATCGTTTGTCGTAAATGTGTTAATGCTGAATCAGCTATCGATACGTGGTTCCGAATAAGTTTTTCGGCAAGGTACTCCCTGGCTTTTCAAGGGCTTGCGAGTGTGCTTTTGAGATGCTTGCAAAGTAAGACTTCATAGTAACCTGCAGTAAGGGATGAAAAAAGAGAAAGTAAAGACATAGAAATTGAGAAAGGAAATGAACGACAATTTGAATCATAAGAAAAGGAACGGTAAAAGAGAACGAAGCTTTTCGGTTCAGGACTAGTAAATTATTGATGTTGAACAGTTGGTTCACGTAAAAATATGAAAGTTTGCAAGAAAACATTAATATTCTTTGTAATTCCACATCATGGAGAAACCGTAACACTACCACCTAAATAACCTTAAATTTGACTTGCTTGGTCGCTGGAAGGCGAAGCTTGGTGACCGTATTAAGGCCGCTCCCCCGCGACGCAGTCTGCGTCTCTGTCACGCGCGTGCTCTCCATCATTATCTCGTCTCAATCAGGTCACGAAGCCCCGCCTTTCAACCGCCAAGCCAGTTGAATCAAAGGGTAGCTTCCATGAATTTTTTGCGCATCTCGTTCAAAATTACCTTATGCGCTGCTAAAACCTGAACTTATCTTATGTCATTTGTTATGGCTTCAAGGAACTTTTTATTATCTTATGCAGCAGACTATGAAGAAAAGGTTAGAGTCTGGAAGTCATGGTAAATTGTGTTCATCTGCTCAAGTTTCTGAGGATTTTAAGGCAAGCGTAAGTGCGCAAATATGTACAAACAGACGCCCCATCGCCGACGTAATTCGATAAAACGCTTCTAGTAAAGCTGTCTGGATAGAAGTGCCACGCCTGCGGCGGCTGATGTCTTCCACGACTCGCTTAGGCCTCGCGTCTAGCTTCGCCGAGTTTCGCAATGTCTTAACGAGGCAGCTGTGAGGGCCCAAGCCGTCAGCTCTGACACTTACATTAGGACTATTTGTATTTCCATGACGCTATCACATTTCAAAAACGAAAAGTGTAGAGCGCACTTCTTAGGTTGATTCAATTCGCTCACTTAATCTTCTTTCAAAAATGAAAGTGCTGAACGCGCTTTCTAGTCTGTTTCATTCAATTAATATCTTATATTTACTGTTGAATAAATTAGTAATGCCGCAATTTGTTTAAAACGAATGAAGTGAATGAAGTCAAGTGGGTTAAACTGTGTACTTTACTTACCACGTTTGATCTCGTGCACGTAGCCGCTCTATGATTGTTTCCGAGAATTTCCTATGCATGGTTGGCATTTTACTTACTTCGCGTGTTGACTTGTCCTCCTTGTTATAGTCCGAAAAATGCATGATAATTACCAAACCTATAAAGAAATGCCCCTCGCTATAGAGTTCATCCGTGTCACTTTCAGCTTTAACTTCACAGTTCACAAGTGAAGTCGTTCATGCAAAAGTACGTGTACCATTTAAGTATTGGAAGGTATTAGCAAAGTTGAGGGTTAAAGCACACGTCCTTCGAAAACTACGCCTCCCCGCATGCACACCCACCTAAAGGACCCCTCTTTCATTCCTTTAAGAACTTACAAATTGACATTGAACGAAAACCTTATGTCTCAAAGGGTTCCCTGTTTTTATACTATGGCCCAATTTTCTGCCGTCGAACATATACATGCACAGTACGACTTTCGAATGCTACAACGACTGCTCGTGGGATTGCTACCATTTTCTACAATGGCAAGAACAGGTTGTAATTTTATAAGTCAAATTGAAAATTGGACGTTGTGCTTGATTTTTTGCCGAACAGGTTTTTGGTGAGTTTGAGGTTGAGAGTAGAATTGAGGCATAACGGCAGAGTTAAATAGCTGTTGCAACGACACTTTTTGTCTGGAAAAGAGGCGCCCTTTGCTCTACTCCTGCTCTTCTCCTCAAACATCAAGACTGCAAAAGAGCATCGAACCAACAGCGTGAGTAAGAGATTGGCTCATATTGTATCACCTCGCCTATATCACCTATATCCCCGTTGATCATAGTGTTGCACTAGCGGGCACCAGTGATGCCTCCATTCGTTCCTGTCTCGGGCGATTGTTGACCAGTGTTTACCTGTCGCACCAGGACACGTGGAACGCTCTGAAGGACTTCATTAGAGGTCTTCGTGAACATATCTGATCATCGCGTTGGCGGTCTATCTCGTTCGCGTTCAACGTCCAGTGGTATCCAGTCTGTTACAGCTCTCGTCCACCGCTTGTCGTCGTTGAAAGCATTACGTGCCCGGCCCATCTTATCTTGTTCTGCTTGGCGTACGCGGCAGCTCCCTGATCTTCGATCCTTGACGTAGGGTAGAACTTCATAATCCTTGCCTCACTTGCGTGAGTCGATTCACTCCTAGCATCACTCTCAACAGCATTCGATGACGCTAACCACGTGTTCATCCTGCTTTCTCAACGTCCATGTTTCTGAAGCGTACATCAAAGCAGGAAGGACCGTCGAGTTGAAAAGATGGGCGTGGAGCAGGATGTTCTTGGTTTTCTTCACTATGTCCTCAATTGTCTTATATGTTCCCCATGCTGCACGTTTCCTCCTGCTCAGTTCCGGAGCTAGATCGTTCATCATATTGAGTTCACGACCTAAGTAGGTGTAGCTTGAACATCCGGTGATGTTCTTCCCCTTGAGCATAAAAAGAGTATCAGGCACTCTTCTGTTCCTCATGAACATGTCTTCGTTAGATGCAGCCGTAGGCCGATCTTTCCACACACTTCGTCAAACTAAACCAGCATTTGTTCCGCCTGCGTGATGCTTGGCGTTATCAATACGATGTCATCAGCAAAGCGAAGGTGGTGTAGCTGCCGGCCGTCGACTTTCACTCTCATGTTGTCCCATTCCAACTCACGCATGACGTTCTTCAGAGCGGCACTGAGTAGTTTCGGCGATATAGTATCGCCTTGTCGCACGCCTCTCTTCGATGATGATGTCCTTGTAGAATGGTGTTATGGTGGTTGTGAAGTTGTTATACAGCTCACGAATTATCTTGATGTAATGAGTCGGAATACCTTGATTGCTCAAGGCATAGATGACGGCTTCAGCCTCAACCGAGTCAAAGGCCCTTCAAGTCGATGAAGGTGAGACAGGGCGGCATCTTATACTCTCGTGACACTTCAGTGAGCCTTGACACCGTGTGTATGTGGTCGATCGTGCTGAATCCTCTTCGAAACTCAGCTTGCTCGCATGGTTGCCCTTCGTCCAACTCTCTTCCGATCCTGTTAAGAATAACTCGTGTAAAGAGTTTGTAGACTACAGACAACAAGCAGATAGGGCGATAATTGCCGATGTTGCAGGGATCTCCCTTCTTGTACAGCAACACGGTGCTGGTCTTCCATTGTCTTGGAATCTTGCCTTCGTCAGATACCGCGTGAACAGCCTTGCCAAAATCTTGATAAGAACTGGCGAAAGATTTTTCAGATGTTCTGGCTTACTGTCGGGACCGGGTGTTGTACGGTTTTTCATCGACATGATAGCATGACGAATCTCGGAAGGAAGAACAGACGGTGCGACATACTCGTCCTCCTTGAGATGGCATGGTGGAAGGTGGACGTGGCTCGCAAAGAAATCCGGGTAGAAGTCGTGGATGACCTTCTCCATTGATCTTCGGGAAGCAGTTATGGACGACGAAGTGCGGTCATCTTTGTCTTGAAGTTGACGAAGTTCGTATACTTCTTCCAGCCTCCGCGGCGTCAATCATCACTGCTACTCTTCTTTCCTTGAGGTCTTATTTTATCGCTTCTCTGCATCGCTTCGCAAGCTCGCACGTCAATCGGTAGTTGCCTGTGGCTCGTGCGCGTCCACGTTGGCATATCGGCTCTGAAGTCTCCGCGGTGAGACGCCTTCTCGAATTCTTAAACTCTGAGCGTCCTTTGCACAATTGTGGAGATGTTGTTCGAAAAATTCGTATTCTTGCGATGTTGTCGATACAGTATCTCGCCATGAGCCGGATATCGAAGAAAACAAATATCAGTTGGTGGTATTCATGGGACGACGTTTCCTGGACTTGACGGCTCTCTCTCCATTCCGCGGAAAGTAGAATTTGGCGCGTAGGACACGATGGCCTGATCCCGTGTGGAACCC